TCGCCCCGCGTCTCCGGTGCTGCGCTCCGGGAGCCCGGCGCAAGGGCGGTGCGGGAACACGTCTTCCGAGTCCGGCTGGCAGATGCCCCGGTGGCGGCACGGTGCCTGTGCGCTGCCGGAGGCACCTCTTGAGGAGAGGGGTCGTGTGTTGACGTGAATTCTTTGTCTCTGCAGTTCTTAAAGAACAAGATTGGAAAGACTGAGAAGGCTGCCAACCCCTACAGCCAGCCTGTTCACGGTTTACATCTGTGTGAACAACCAAAGATTAACAGACAGAAGAGTAAATGTAATGTGCCACTGACAAAGATGTCCTCGGCAAAAAAGGTAGAGAACTTTTGGCAAGATTCTATATCACCAGAAATAATTCAGAAGCAGGAGAAAAAGCCACTTAAAAACACAGAGAACTTCAGAAATGCCAAGTCCAAGAAACCTATCACCCTAACTGAAGCGAGCCAAAAAGAAAATTACGCTGGGGCAAAATTTAGTGACCCACCATCTCCTAGTGTCCTTCCAAAGCCTCCCAGCCACTGGGTGGGTGGCACAGCTGAACCGTCTGACCAAAACAGGGAGTTGATGGCAGTCCATTTGAAAACTCTCCTAAAAGTTCAAGCGTAGTTTCCAAGACCTCTTGAGTAATTGGCAAAGAAAACTCCATCCAGGAAACTTAAACATGCCTTGTTGCAACAAATTGCAAAAGACTGTCAAGTCTTATAATCACATTAAAAAAATCCTTGTATTATATTTTTTATGGTTGTGTAAATAGTGTACATCATGTATTATGTGTATATTCTTGTTCATACTTTGAGAGGTACATTTTAGTTTTGTTATGAAAGGATGTATTTTGCACTGCCTGAATGGTAGATGTCTTGTATATAAAATATGGACAATTTTAAGTGTGTGCTTGACACATGAAGACTTGACTTGATTTGCACAAGGTAATGAAAATTTTGGAAGGAGAGTACAGCTTTCTGATTTTAAGGTTCCAGATCAAATGTGAATGTTTTACTCATGCACTACTGACAATAGTTTTACATTCAATGACCCAAACGAGTATAAACATGGAATTTTCATACAAATGTGAAGTTTTGCTCTCTGTTCTGGAAACAGTATCTGGAATTCCTGTTCAACTGTTTGTTTTTAAAATTAACTGGAATTTTGAGTAAAATTCCAACCCATCAATTTGAGCACTGCTGATTTCCTTAAAGAAAGGAGAAAAAAAAAAAAGAGAGCTTTCTGCCAAAAATCCAATTGGTCACTAAAAAATTAAATAAAACAATTTGGCCTCCCCTTTAGCATGTCTAGGAGATTCTTTTGTGTGTGTGTGTGTGTGTGTGTGTGTCTCAATTCAAGTATGTGAACTTAAATTACTTGATTGCCTTCTAGTGCATCAGTGGGAATATTTTGTTCTTCTCAGCTTGAAGAGAACTGCGTTTACCTACATGCTTGAGGTAAATGTATGGCTTCAACAGCCCAGTTTGCTGCCTAATCTAAATGCTCTGTAATTCAGCGTGTCCTAGCTTGTCTTCTAAAGATGAACAAAAATCCTCCTTTTTTAATTTTTTAATCAACAGTATTAGGGCAAAGAAAAACCTAGTAGGATCGCACTAAGGATGACTCAAGTAGACCGCAAGTCCCAGTTTACTGTACTTGGTATATGCTGTATTGATCTGCTGTTGTGCTTTTTTTTTTTTTTTTTTTCCTTTTTTCTTTTCCCTGAATGTCATCAAGCGCAAAGGAAAATGCCTTTAGCAATTCCCTGTAGCTTTAGGCAGTGGTTAACTTCGTCAGCTGAACTTGTGAGCGTCTTGAATCTTGATAACTAGCTTGACAAGAGCTAGTTTCCATCAGCCATGTAGGTTGGTATCATTTGAAAGGGGGTAGCCTTTTTCCCCTGATAATAATCTCTGTTAACCATCAGCCTCTTTTCTTCCCTGCCCCGTGGTGCTAACATCGAATTACGTAGTTTGAATGCTAACTCTGATCCTACGTAAAATTTACCAACGTAACATACCTCTTTGTTTCTACCCTGATGTGCCAACACATCCCTGGGGATTACAAAATCCATTAAATGTAAGTAAGGGATTACGGAATTCATTAAATGTAAAAGTAAATCCTCAGCCAATTCTTTTAAAGCTGTTGGGTGAGACTTCTGAAGTCTTGAAAATTTAGAACTTTCCATACATTGTTGGACCATAAAGGTTTTCAGGGTAAGATAACAATGTTTCATTCGGTCTTCCAAACAGTGCAAGAAAAAAAAAAAAAGCTTGTTTAGCTTACCTCTGCGCGAGTACCACTGGTCCTGTCGTGATCTGGCAGCAGGGTTGGGGCACTTCACGTTTCTGTCTTCCTAAGATCTTTGGGTTGAGTCCCTTCCTGCCCAACGGGCTGGATTGTAAAACCAGGCCTACATGCAACGTACGCTTCAACAAGATCGCCTGGAAAATCAGGACATCGTCATCTCTTAGGACCATGTTCTGCACTTAGTTTGTCACTTTCCCACACTTTTTCCTTTATCTTTCTACAGTATTTTCTTACAGGGATTTTCACTTTGAAAGTTTCCTTCACTTTAACGGATTTCTCATCCCAGTTCCCTGAAGGCGAGGCATTGTATTACACAAACGTACTATTGTTTGAGTTTAGAGCCAGTAAACGAAAGAAAAACATCAGTGTCGTGTTTGGAGGGCTTCTTTGCAATACAGTATAAAGTCTTTTGAAGTGAACAGCCTTTAAGGAAGAAAATGAACAAACTTGGTGGATGTGTTATCATCAGCTGGTCATGTGTCTGCTGTACAGGAATTGAATAAATTGCTTATCAAATTTTCTGAGTTCAGTCAGAGTAAGGAAACAACGTACTGCATTTTGGTTAGATAATGAAGATCTTTTCTGTTTAAAATCTTTAGTGCAATGCTGGGCAGAACTGCAGGGGAACCAACTGTGCGAGTTAACTAGCAGCTTACTTTTAAACAGTTAAATGTCATGTGGTGATGGTCCTGAAAAATTAGCTTTCATGGAGCACAGAAGTATCTGTTGTTGGGTTTTCACGCGTGGCTAAATTTCAGCCCATTAGACAGCTTCGTTAATAACGGCTGGCTTGGTGCTCTACTAAAGCTAAAATGCTTCTCTCTCCTAGTGCAACAGGAGCTAGAAATCCCCTGTGCATGTGAACTGTTACACCAGCATCTCTTCAGAGATGCTGCCAAATTCTTAAGTATACTGTATATGAGGCTGTAACTTTTCTCATAAATTGGATTTTATTTCAGCTGATTAATATTTTATCCAAGTAGTGTCATTTTAAGCATTTATTTTCAGAGGGTATTTTTTTAAGCTTTTGCAGTATAAAGCGTTTGATACCTGCCACACTTCAGGATTTTTTTCTGCTTTACCCAGTTTTGAGAGATCAAATATGAAGCCTATAGATTATATGAAGCCTGAAGATTATAGGTTGGTTTTCATTGTAATTTTGGAAGTAAGTTTACCTTTATTTCTGCATAGAAAGTCTTGACACTTCCATCATGCAGTTAAACACATTCATTATTTTCTTCTACAACCCCTTGTACACTTTGAATTTTGACTTCACAATGCATTCTTTAATTCTTTTTTCGTAATATATGCCTAATATATTTAAGGGGAATTATTTTCTGTTGTAATTTCTGAGAAGGTTTTATGTTACGAATAGGTTGGCCCTTACCCTAAAGAGGCTAGGGGGTAAGCAAGTAACAGATACAGGTTGTAAAATGTTAACGTTTACTGTGAAAAAACGATGCTACCTTGTTGAACAGGAACCACAGTGTTAAATGTTTTTGATAGCAGGAAATGTTTAGTTGCTGATTCAACAGAAAAGATCAATGTAGAGAACATCCATCAATTAAGGAGAAATACATTATCCAATAAAAGGACCTAACTACTGAAGCTGAGCAACCAAATGTTGTCAGCAGTATAGAGGCTGTGAACTTTTTGGTTTGCGTTGAGAGCGTAGAAGAACGTTACCAGAGCTAAGACAGGAAGGTCAAGAATTCAGCTCAATTTGAAAAAAAAATCCTCAGGAATTAATTTGCACAGCGAACACGTCCTACCAGAGGTACTTCTTCCCGTGTTGAAGTCAGCATTCCTCTCAACTTTTTTTCCCCTGAGGTGATAAATTCTAATTTATTCAACTCCCAGAAAATAGGCCTTTAGATTTTACAAAGCCCTGACTGTTGTAAGCGCTGCATTGGTACTTTTTTTTAACGCTAGGCTAGTGGCATTACTGCAAGTTACACATATTGAGGCTTGTGTGTGGCAGATGCGGTCATTTAGTCCGAGTGGTTCATAAACCCTTGCCTTCAGTTTGAGAATTACACTGATTATATGTACTTAGGCTGTAGGTTGCCACTGGTGAGCAAACTGGTGTGATTTCTGTAATTTATACCTGAAAAATGAAGTATTTGGGGATCAAGGACTTTCCTTGTGTTTATAGGACTTTGCTAAGTCATTGGGGTAAAGGGAGGGATCGGGCGAGAACCCCCAGTTCTGGTGACCCCCTGTCGGGATCATGTAGTCACCATCCTCTGTAATCTTGTGGAATGTGCCAGATTTGATGGCAACGTCAGCGTACTTCAGAGCGTTCAGAGAAGGCAGCCTTCTAGCAAAAAGGGGTTTTTCCTTCACTGCCCCAGAAGTAGCACCCAGTGAGAGGGCAACCTCCACGCCTAAATATCCCTGAGATGAAACAGAAACTTCGGTACAGGTAAGACAGCCTGTTTTTATTCCTGCCCTCTGTGGCAACACTGAAGAGTTTACCTGTATTGCTATTATAACTGATTACTTGCCCTCTTCCAAACTGTTGCATTTTTATATCATTTTTAACACAAACATGCCCTACTTTTCAAACACTGTAGGGACACAGTGTGAAGATGTGGGGGGAAGGGTAAAAGTAATCTTGATCCAGTCTTGCAGTCTTGATCCAAAGGCCAGCTTAGTCACAATTTTCTTAGGAAGGGCTTTGCTTACTTTTGACGTTACTGCGATGGTTACGTGGGCTGAGCCCTAAGGACAGTGAAGGATGGTGCTTTCCCTCTGGGCAGACGTAAGATACTGAAAAAGGTGAAGGAGCAGAAAGCCGGTATGTGATGACCGAAGGAAGGAGCTCTTTGCTCGCTTAGAAACCTTTCTCCATATTGTCTTCCTCAGTTACAGCCAGCCCCCCGACCTCACCTTTTAAGGACCTCTAGCAAGTCTCCACCCTTCCTTAATTTCCTACTCCCAAGTCCCTTTCTTGCCAGAAATGCAAGGAATGTGTTTTACACACCCACTAGTTCCAGGAGCACATTCGGTAACTTTTTGGTTCACTTCCAGAGAGCGTTGACACCACGTAAACAAAGAAACGATGAGGAAAGAGAAGAATTAAGAGAGAAAAAGTTAAAAAACTACATTACTACTAATATAAAAGATGAAACGCGTCGCGTGCGTGTGCGATACAGAAGAACACTGGTACATTTGCTTTAACAGATGGAGTTACTGTAACTAGTGATAGGACGAGAGGAAATGGCCTCAAGTTGCACCAGGGGAGGTTTAGATTGGACATGAGGAAAAATGTCTTTACTGAAAGAGTGGTTAAACATTGGAAGAGGCTGCCCAGGGAAGTGGTTGAGTAACCATCCCTGGAGGTATTTAAAAGACATGTAGATGCGGCGCTTAGGGACATGGCTTAGTGGGCACGGTGGTGTTGGGTTGACGGTTGGACTCGATGATCTTAGAGGTCTTTTCCAACCTTAATGATTCTATGATTCTATGATACTGTGGCAGGCGTCTTTAAAGCGTATGCATATAGCTGTAA